ATGTGACTGTAATTTCACCAACACCCTTACTCTTTAAAACCGGGACGCAGTAATGCTCACATTCCGGCATGGTGTCAGAAATACGTAAGAACTGTACTTCCCTGGACGAAATCTTTCACAAAGAGCTCCTGTGCTACTAGGGTAAAAATATTATACGTGCACGCAGGGCGGCTCACTCGAGGCACTTGCCTCTCGAAGAACTAAATGAAGTCAAGTGACAGAGGTCTGTGACAACCCTGTACACTGGCTGATCTGGGGTCAGAACCTGAGTTTATAAGGTCCCTGTGTGCGCACAGGTTATAGTGCCCTTCTCGTATACCCTAAGGATCGTTAGGGAGAGTCACTATAATCGAAACTAATGTAGAAAGATATGGGGCTCCTTCTAAAATAAATGTAAGCCATACAAACATTTCTCCCTGACCGGGAATCGAACCAGGGACCTCTGCGTGGCAGACCGTGCAGCATGATAACCGTTCGGCCACGGATACAGTTAAATTATAATATTGAATATTAAGTTTATGAATATCACTATGTTTTCCTACCATGATATTCTATTGATTTTGTGAAATTACTCCACTATACTTTGATATGTTATAAGTGTTAACCGACTTCAAAAAAGGAGGAGGTTCTCAATTCGACTGTATGTTCTTTTTTTGTATGTATGTTACGCGATAACTCCAGTATATTGTGAACCGATTTTCATGATTCTTTTTTGTTGGAAAGAGGGTACTTCCATAGTGGTCCCATTTCATTTTGAAAAAAATCATCTACCTCTAAGGGTGGTTGTTCACGCATGAAGATTCATTTTTATAAATAGCTCCTAAATTTTATTATAAGGAGCAATTATTTTAATGGTTGCATTTGCTGTTCTCCAATTCAAGGCGCTTTTTTCTCTCTCAATATGATTTGTGTAGTGAGAACCGATTTTTTTTATCTCCTGTGTCAAGTCCTGTATAATTGCGAACTAGAGGATATTTCAATAAAACTTGGCAAATAGATGTAATTCCACGTACTTTTGAGGTCGGTTTTTTTAGTACTCTGTACTGAGATTATTATATTGACAGATTTCACTATCAATTTATAATTAGAAACAGGTCGTGAGTCTGGTGGTAAAGAACACGCCTGTCCATAACAGTGTACCACTGCGGCCTTTAATTGAGAGACATGAATTGACTAGTCCCAAGATTGCGCCAGGAAAACTACAATAAAAACTTGCACATCGTCCTTCTGTCATGTCGCTTTCATTCATGAACGGATTATTAAGAAAGGCATTTAAATTAACATACAAAAGTGCTTTTTCGCTCCCAACTACTCTCTTGATGACAAGGCATAAATTATGACTCATTAAAGTTTCATGGACGCATAAATTCATTTGAAACATCATCTTAGAAACGACCCGCAACGAAATACTAATTAGTATTTCTTCATATAAACTTTTGAAATGCAGCTTGAGTTGAATAAAAATAAAAACGAACGATTGCGTAATTTGAAATGTAATTACACCGTACAACTTCTGGGTTTTAAAACTTCAGAGATTAATAATTTAGATTCATTGGTCTTAATTAGCCCATCAGTAAAACTTTCGGCAATATCCATTTCTTTAGTCGAAAAGTTACTAAATAAGTATAATATTATTTAACTTTTTAAGTGAAAACAAAATCATTGCCACTGGAATTCGTTTTTGTTTTATTTCTTATGAAAGCAAGTGACTGGGCGAATAAGTCGTGCGCCTGGTGGTATGCGACACGTCTGTCCATAACAGTTGCAATGCCACTCAGAGGTTTAAATCTGCGGGGCACTGCTACCGCGCCCGTCACCCTGTGACATAAGTTGGCAAGCCCTATGTGCCTGTAATTTTTACCTGCTGGTACCCGTTATCCTTGCCATTCAAAATTCATATTACGTACATTCATATTACCACTTGGCGGCAGAAATAGGAATGATGGCACAACTTCCTTGAACGAACTCTTTCACTAGGAGCTTAACATGAGAATTGTCAATCTATGTCTCAGGGTGACGGGAGCATTGGTAGTGCTCCGCAGATGTTTGCGATTTAAAGCTCTGAGTGGCACCGTGACTGTAGCTTACCATCAGGCGCACGACTTGTTCGTGCCGTCACTTAATGTTATAAAAAAAATGGATTACGCTTTCGTTTGTACACAACCGCACCTGATGGAAATTGAAGTGTGATTGTGGACAAGGATGGCACACGCTCGCCTATAAGAAGTCTGTGCACTCTTATCTCTAGAATATTCGGGTTGCATCACTCGGGAAATAAAGATCACAGCATAGAGATAAGTATATTCCTTAGCCATGCGAAATCAAAAGGCTGTGTTGGAATGGATGGAACTTCTACAGTATATGGATGGAATTGGACGCGTCTGGTTGATCGGAAAGGAGCGGACGGATTAAATCATGCACTTACGTGGCAAATGATTTATAAAACTATATTCATACGATTATTCTAACTTTGTAGAAGCTACACTTAGTTAAAGATATTAGGCAAGCAGCCATGATGAACATCTTTCACTTTAACAAGCTCTTAAAGATTAAAAACTCCAAGACCAGTTTGGCTTGAACCTATTTATTCATTCCAGTTTGTCGAGCCTGCTTCCGCTTATGCAACCCATTTACAGTCAGTGATGATAAACTGACATCACAATAACCTCATTTTAATACGCATATTACTTATTATAATTTTTATTGTTACATAAATAGCAGTGCACAATAAATGGTGACATTCGGAATTGTATGAGCTATTTGGAATTCTGGAAATAAAAGATTATTTTGTTCCTATATTACAATAAATAAACAACAGTTTTAGGTGTACTTTAGAGTTCCAACGAATACTCTGTTACTATTCAGTATTCGGCTTATTATTACTGCTTGCTGTTGAATATTGTATATTATTAAATCACCATTCTAACTGCCTCCGTGGCCGAACGGTTACCATGCCGGACTGCCACGCAGAGGTCCTAGGTTCGATTCCCGGGCCGGGAGAAATATTTGTATGGCCTACATTTATTTCTCTCGTGAGTTTGGGTGTAATTTGTGTTTGTCTATGTATGTGTCCATGGCACCCGCGACACAGGGTTTCCCTAGTGCGGGGCTATGTTGAGTGTGTGTGTGTTGAGTGTGTGCGTTATTCTGCCCAATACAGAATACGTAAAAACAAAAGGCAAAATTGGGAAAAACACAGTAAATTATTATGCAACTTTTGTTAATGCTGAATACACGTTGTACGTTAATCAGATCGAATTGCTCGATCGAATATTCGGCTATTCGGCCACGCTCCTGGTCGAATGACTATACATTGCAACTCTAGTGTACATTTTTTGCAGCTGTAGAGCACCTTGTGAAAGAGTTCGTCCAGGTAGCAGGTCCAGTCCAAGCAGTAATGTGAGAATTACTGAATTCCGGTTTTGAAGGGTACGGTACTGGCGAAATTACAGGCACATGGGACTTGCGCAGTGCTCCTCAGATCTTTGCTATTTAAAGCTCTGAGTGGCACTGCAACTGTCATGGACAGACGCGTAGCTTACCATCAGGCCACGACTTGTTCGTTCCGTTACTTAATATTATATAAAAAAAACATTTACTGAAGTCTGAAGAAAAAAAGGTATTTCTTTTGATGTTTAGAATAAGCCCTTGAAATTTCGGCCCCAACTTCACAGGCATTCCGTATAAACATTTTAAGTGTAGGTACTACTAGTATACGTACTCCAAATATTCTCCTCTACCTTTTTATGTATAATAAACATCCACGTTATATGTAAGAACAGAACCCTTGATTCTCCACCTAGATGAAGCACGAGGTAATTACTTACGGGACCTTGTGCTCCAACTGATCAATGGATACATAACAAGGTAAAAGGGTATATTATGAGACATGTGACTATATGAATGACATACCATGCTCTAGAGATATATAGTAGAAACATTATAAACCAATTGCTTGCTTTAGTAGCAGTAGAGCTACTTGTGAAAGTAAGGACGCTGGTGAAATTACAGGCACTTGGGACTTGTCAGCTTATGTCTGAGGGTGACGGACGCAGTGGCAGCGCCTCTAAGATCTTTGCGATTTAAAGCGCTCAAAGACCTCAAAAAAAAACTTAGCAAATACGGAGTAAAAATGGAAAGTGGGCGAAATCCATTATGATTCATCGTCTAATTTGCCGGCCCTTGGAGGTGGAATATGTTCTTCAAATTTGAATGGGACCATTTTTAAGGTACCCCCTTTCTAACAAAAAAAGATCTTCAAATCGGTTCACAAATGTCACAAAAAGTGTCCAAAAAGAATAAAGTCGAACTGAGAACCTCCTCCTTTTTTGAAGTCGGCTAATAATACTAGTAGTTATTTCAGTGCTATACTCGAGACAATACTTCACTATAATGTAGCTGAGAACCACACCAATTACCAGTGTCAAACTAAAAAGTTCCTTGCAGTATGAGTATCAGAGCAACGAAATTGTCTTCAGAGTACTCAAACCAGAAAACTTCATTTACCAAATCGATCCTGCCGGGAATTAAACTAAGGCCATCGAGTTCGTCGTGCAAAATTGTAACGACAATTATGATTTATAATGGTTTATTTGTGAGGACAATCATAAATACGATAGGTACATACATACCTGGATAAGACGATACCTATTTCATAAGTCCTAACAACCTTTAACAATGATCAAAGCCCATAAATATTATAAAAAATAAATAAAATAGCCTGGAAATGTCAATTGACATCTAGCGAGAATTATGGGCAATACAATCACGCACCATGTCAAAGACGTCTAAATGGTTAAAACCTTCGTAACAAAGAAAGATAAGCGTCTTAATAGAACAGGCTAATGTCAACAGATGGCGTTGTAAGTCGAAATAAAGTTTACTACGTATTATATACTTTTATTATGTCTGTGTATACTACTACTACTACTACGTTACGAAACCTAATTTATTTGCTATGATAAACACTATTTGTAATTCAACACAAAAAAATATTTCAGGTGAGGTGACACTTGAGCGACCATTAGAAGAAATTGCAGCCATCTCACATGCTGGCACACCAATCCTGTTGACAGTCGTAGCTGAGGAGGTCAGGTTGTCTAGAGAAGAGCCAGAAGCCATGTCGTCAACCGTCCAGCTGGCTTTTATACTTCCTGAAAGAGAAAACTCGCCGCCTTACTTCGAAAATGAGTTGTAAGTTTTGGCTTGAAATTTTATTTTTATATAAACAAAAAAGTTAGTAATATGTGTAATAAATCCTATTAACCATTTTCGATACTATTTATTTAATCATTTATTATAATTTGCGACCATAAGCCTAGTAAATAAATTACTGTAAAACGAAAATGTTACAGGGCGCCTTATTTCTGAACAACAAAATCAAAAACAAAAAAAAGAAAAGTATGTATCACATCGAGTATATAGCTAGATGCTCGATGAGGTATCATAAGTAGCCAGTTCCTATATCGTTACCATTAACACATGTTAATAGGAACAATGTATATAGGAACTAGCTACTTACTTTTGTACGTGTGTACAAAAGTCACTATAGTATTATAATGCTTATGAAATTCCAGTTACATCACCTACCTTGATGAGAACGCACCTCAAGGAACAGCGCTCACGTTTAACGACCCTTACATTCCCCAAGTAAACGATAATGATGCAGGCAAGAACGGTGTTTTTGCACTCTCTCTGCTTGGCAACAATGGAACTTTCGAGATATCCCCTACAGTAGCTGAGAGGCATGCCCAGTTCATCATTAAAGTACGGGATAATACCATACTAGATTATGAGGCGAGGAAGTCTGTTATATTTCAGGTAAGAATTAAATCAACTTATTATTCTCCTTTTAGTGATATTTACTGACGAACTATTACTAATTATTATCAAACATACACTTGAAAAAACATTCTGTAACGAGAGCCTTATTTCTTTCCAGATTTTAGCTCAAGAACTCGGTCCAGCGACGAATCTGTCAACGATAGTCAATGTTACCGTCTACTTGAACGATGTCAACGATAATCCGCCAGTATTTTTGGCTCAGTCATATGACATTGAACTCCCAGAGAACGTCACAGCGGGTACTAGAGTCGTACAAGTAGCAGCCGATGACGTAGATACGGGAGCTTTTGGGAAGGTCCAATTCACTGCCATATTAGGATATCTGAACACATCCTTACACTTAGACCCCTTGTCGGGGATAATAACCGTTGCAACAAACAATCACGGCTTTGATCGTGAAGCCATGCCAGATTTGCATTTCTTAGTAGAGGCTAGAGATAACGACGGAATAGGTTTAAGAGTAACAGTGCCATTAATTATTAAGTTGTTAGATGTAAACGATAACCCACCAGAGTTTGAGAGGTCGTTATACGAATTTGTACTGTCACCGAGTTTGAACAACTTCACATCATCGGCGTATGTCAAGGCAATTGATAAGGACGCTGAGCCACCAAATAATGTAGTCAGATATGAAATTGTACAAGGCAACAACGAAGCGAAGTTCGCTGTTAATGAGGAAACAGGTGAGCAGCTTAGAACAACACATTAGCACTCAGTTATTAGTTAGTTCATAATGTGTCACGATAAAAAAACATTAAACGTAAAAATACTAGAGCTAGGTATGTTGTCTTTTACAGGTGAACTATATCTTCTAGAAACGCTTAAACGAACAAAGAAACAAAACGTTCACAGACGAAAACGTCAATTCGATACTAGTGAACAAGAAAGTGAAGTCTATGTTCTCACAATAAGAGCCTACGATCTTGGTGTTCCCAGATTATACTCTACAACTATTGTGAAGATTTATCCACCTGAGAGCAAAACAAGAACAATGTCGTTCATAGTTCCCGGTGCTAACCCTGACAGAAGAAAACTGCAAGAAGTATTAAGTACTTTATCTGGAGGAAAAGTTAATATAATTGAGATAAAGCCTTATAAAGGCTATGAAAATGGTGCTACTAATTTAAATGGACAAGAATCTAGTCAAGAAAAGTAAGTCAACCTTTGAGTCAGTCTAAAATTGTAACTATAAAAAAAAATACCTGTAAAGACATCTTACAATATTATTTTGTGTTTCTTTTCTAGGAGTGAAGTTATAGCTATTGTGCGAATGTCTGGAAACACCGCCATAAATGTAGCTAAGCTTCAAGAACAGTTGGCAGAGAAAAAAACGGAATACAATACTGGTTCCGGACAAAATACTGGCTCTAACATTAATTCTGGTGCTGGTTCGGGTGGAGTTGGGTCTGGGAATTCTGGATCCGGGGCTACTGGAACCGGAAACTCTGGTTCTGGAATTTTCGGAAGTGGCGATTCTGGAAGTGGTACTGGACAAAAAGATCAAACATCTACTGCTGACGATGGCGATGCCGTAAGTTAGGACATTATTTTTGTACGATTTATAAAAACTGCTACCACATGTAATGAAATAATTAAAATGTGTCACGATCTGAATTCGCTAAAGTACTTATACATATTTTTTATGTTACAGGGTCTTTACAAAGCAGAAAGCCGCTTATTATTCTGGTTACTAATATTGCTGGCGATATTAGTAGCTCTTGTTCTATTATTACTCATTTGTTGTTGCATCTGCGAGGGTTGTCCTCTTTACATGCCACCAAGGTAATTTTAATTTGATTTAATAACACATACTTACCTACTTATTCTTAGTTGCTTCACATCCACTACATTGCTAACCACCACATCATTCATTCTGAACTCACTTTAATTCCTTTAACGAAGTCTTAACTAATATTTTCTTTTTCTCTAACAGACTAAAATGCACCAATTAATCCGTGCATGTTTACACATCAGCTTTGATACCTACGTTACATTGCAATAGGTAATTTTTTTGTTTTATTTATTTTTAAATAATTTCTATTTTAATCAGTTAAAAAATACGTGAATGATCCACTCACAATCATCGCTTGTTTATATGAACTGCGTAACTTATAAATTTCATAACTTTCATTCTTTATCTGTAAATAATTGTTATTAATTAAGTTTTAACAGAACAGCTTGGTACATAGATATCCATTAATAAATTCTAGGAAAAGAGTGATACGTGTCAACTCCACAGAAGACGACGTGCATTTAGTGGTTCGGGACAAACACGAACATGGGAGAGAAAACAAGTCAACGCAAAATCTAGAAAACAAAACAGTACAAGGAAATGAATGGAGGAGACGAGAAGCGTGGAGCGCGGAAGAAGCAGACTTGAGGACGAAGCCAACGCAGTGGAAATTTAACAAAAGAAACTACAGGAAAGAACCAAGTAAACCTGCTTCAACTCCTGGAGATCTGCGGCAAGATTTTGTACACGCTGCTGCGGATAATGATTATAAATATAATGATGGCCGACAATCCTTCAGATTACGGTAAGTTCTGGAAATTCGTTAATGACATTAGAATATTATATTTTTTGTATATTTATAATATTAATTAGACCTTGATTTTTTACTAAAATAAATACCAAATCAAAATCTAACAAACAAACCTCTACCTTCTTCTTTTCATCTTCCTCATCGTCGTGCATGTTATTGTCATGTTGTTTAATAAAGAAGACTTTTTTTATTATTTCAGGGATGGTCCTAATGTAATTTATACAAAAGAAATGCAACTACAAGAAGCATTTGCTAACAAACACAAAGAATACATAGAGGATCTTGAAAACGGTTACGATAGAATTGCTACTCTTCATTATCACAGACGAGATCAAGACAACGATTCCATACGAAGACATGAAATAGATCGGGGATCCGACGTTGGCGTCTTCCTCAAAACTGATATAGAAAAGAATATAAATGATAAAGACGGTAGATCAAAACGAGATCGCGCTCCATCTTCCCAAGAAAGAGACCAATATTTTATAAAACAAGGCAATACTGAAATACTACGGTTAGTGACAAGGGGTAAAAATGAAGAAGAACGGTATGTAAACCTGCCAATCCATCAACAAAGACCAGTGACCCTGATTCCACAAACACAATATGTAGTTGTTGATGGTAAAGAATTGTTAATGGAAAGATTCATTAGAGAACAAGGAGAAGAAGCAAAAAATATAAGAGAGAGAATGGGCAAAATAACAGATTTAGACAACATGTCACAACATGGCAAAGACGGAAAGAGCTTGGGTCAAAGATCACACATAGGGAGTGATATTGTAAATCAATTTCATGAATACACCAATGTGCCACCGGACGTTCCTGGCCTCGTTCCATTGAAAGCAGATTATTTGCAAACAGCTTTGCTGGAAATGCAAAACAAATCAACTATCCACCAGGAGCTACTAGAGTCATCACTTAGGAAGCAAAATGAATTATTACATCAAATTCTCATAGAACGAGAAAGGATGATGCAAAATCAGGAAACAGCATCTCAAGTTGAAAGTAAGTTAGAAACTCAAAGTTTACCTGGTCAATCAGTAATAGCGACTCAAACTGAATGTCATATAGGTACACAAACAGAACCTGAAATGCTCAAACCATTAAGACGAAAGGCTAGAAGTGACAACGATTCCTACAGTGAAGATGAAAATGAAATGATCGTAGAAGATAATTCTAAGAAAGTCGCATGGGTTAAACGGAAGAAGCCAAAAAAGAAAATTAAATACAAAGACCCTAGGCGAAGTTTACGAATTTATGAGTTGAAAAGAAAAATTAAAACCCCAATCATCGAAGAGAGTGACGTTTCGCCTTCACTAGAAAGTGAAAAACATGTTAAAATTAGTAAAACCAATGAAAGAGAAGAGCATATAAAAAAATATGGGGATAAAACTAAAAGCGTTATTACAACATCCAAAAACGAGACAGTGTGTTCAACTCAAATAAGAATGCCTGATGACGAAGATCGCAAGTCACGACTGCGAAGAGATGTATTAATGGAAATATCTGATTCTTTAGAAGAGAACATTTTAGAGTCCAGTGACAAAAAACCACGTCTCCGAAGGCAATCCCCTGTATGTGCTGAAAATGCACCTAAACCTCTTGCCATCGAACATGAAAATATAAGAGAAAGTAAGAGCAGAAGTAGCTCAGCGTCAAGGACGAACAGAAACATGATATTTTCTAGACAAGGTTCATCTACTGAACAACGGGACCACATTGATCAACAGACGATTCCAGATATAAATCTATCTCATACTAAAAAGAACATTTCAAGTAACACGGATTCTAGCAAGAAAACTGATGACGATGTAAAGAACGGTAAAACTTCTCAGAAGAGTTTACCTAGATACATGCAGTGGTATGGTAAAAAGTCTACTGAACCCACGTCTAAACCTGCTGTCTCGGAAAAGGTTGTCCCAAATAAACCAAAACGAATTTCTAAATCAAAAAACGAACAAGATCTTAAAACTGAAAAAGAAAGAGGAGGAAGATATGGTAGAATAATCAACAAAGATACTCAAGCAGATTCAGAGGTAAAAAAAAACTTCAAAGGAAAAGAAAGTGAATTCATACATCCTCGTCTTTTAAAAGAAGAAAAGGTAACACCAGTACCAGAAGGACCTCTGCCTGACGTCCATCCCTTGTTACAACATTCCGAACATAGATACGAACACCAATATGAAAACCAAAACCCTCTTTGTTACATAAAACCGACACACATTCCCAAGTACTTGGAACAGCCCGACGCTCCGAAAAGACAATCTATAGAACAACAACCAGTATATGTAAATCAAGACGATGTGAAAAATAAAGAGTCGAAAAGACCAGAAATTTCAGAGAGTGCATTAACCCACAGCATATCTATTTCAAGTAATTATGAGGATGACCGTAAAAATGCACCTGAAGTTCATGTTTCCAAAATAAATATCGGAGGCGATAATGTACCTGACGTGAGTCATCGAAGTGTGACGACTAAAATAGACGACAATGATTCTGGTATTGCTATGAATACTTTAGTACAACAAACAGGCAACATCAAACGTTTGCCGATCACTGAAAAGAAAAGTGTGTTCACTATAGCATACGATGACGTTCAAACGAAACAACTACGACCAGACAGTAGTTCGACTTCATATTAAGTATTATTTCTAAAGTGAGTGCCTTAACGTAATGGAATATCCTTATTGATTTTCAGTCATCAAAATTAGTAAGACTTGACATTCCGTCCAATATTTATAATCTAATAATTATACGTTCTTTTAATGAATTTGTATATAAATACTAAAGTATATTTTTTATTTTTAAGTGATTCAATAAGAAAACAATCAAACTGCCTTTATTTGACGACTGGTATAAATTAATTTAGTAGCATTTTTATTGTACATAATATGTCCATGTTGAAATTACGTGTAACTGTAGTGAATATTCTAAAGTTTAAATTAATTTAGCTTTAAAGACATACCAATGTAAATATTTTCTTGATCCCACTATAATGCATACTGATTTAGTGTGCAAATTTATATTTGTTACAAAATATAAAGTTATATACTTATTATGCATTGTATTTTATTATCCAATTATAAAGGGGTGTACGATAGGAGCTATCCCGCACGACGTACCATTCCTTTCCAATTATCACGTCTGGCGCACCCTAAGCAATAATCGGAGAGTACCTTACGCCAATTGGCAAGTCCTTTCACCACGATGGCAAGAATTATACTATACAATAAGAAGGATCCAAGCATATAAATATATGTAATAAACATGTATATAAATATGCGCAGATATCTTAATTTTTTAAATTTATATAAGCAATAAAATAAATGAAGAAAAAAATTTAAATTTATTAAAACCACTTTATTCGTTTACAAATTCAAAATGTTAAATAATACAATCCCATTCCAACAAAGTTCCAGAATAAAAATCACATGATCATTCAAATACAATTCATATTATTCTAAAAGCTTTTGAGTGACATATTCCTTATAACTACAAGGACTTATACATTTGACAGCTTTATTACCGAATTTGTCGTGATACCAACATATTTGATTTACGTTTCGATCATTAGTTTTCAATATTACTTCAGGCGTTTTGCACTTACAGTTCTTACACACTTCAACTTTTTCTTGAATAGTAAGTTGTATATCAATAACTTGTTTATGTAAGTTTTCCATTTGCTGTAACAGCTTGTCTAATTTACTCTCAAATTCGATTGAAGATTTATCAGAAGGGTTTTCACCTGAATAGACTTCAAGAACTTTGTCAGCAACATTGATTAATAGGTCCAAATTATCACAGTTTTCTCCTTCTATAACTTCCTTTACGTGTGAAGGTAAACCCTCGATCCATATTTCTTTAATAGTTTCCTCTGATACTCTCGAATCGGCTTTGGTTTGAAGGTGCGCTAAAAACTCCGAAGGTTTCATAGATCCAATCTTTTCATTTTCCAACTGCTTAATTGACATACGCTCAATAACTTCGTGTTTTAAATAGTCATATCTATCAACGGCTTCCATTTCTGGAGGGTTAAGTATAATATCTTCAACTAAGCTGATCACATCTTTGCTGAGCTCCGAAACGATATGGTCGTACATATCAGAATCCGATGTTACTCTGTTCAATGCAAACACAGCTTCGACTTGTGCGAACCACAGCGCCGGTTTTTCCACCCAAAAACTTGGCAATACGACGTGATCCATGATATTCAACAGGTTGACGCGGTATTTTAAGCACAAATTGAAAGTAAAATGAGTAAAATATTAAAAACTGTAAGGCAGGTAGTTTACAAAACAAATTTATCTTTAGTCAACAATTTTAAAATTGTTGATTTTATTCGTTTAGAAACTGACTTCTTATGGATATAATGATAATATTTAACACAACTTTCCTTCAAATTTTGTAAAAGAAAATTAAAACTATGTATGCTTCACAGTCCTACAATTACAAAAATTAACTACTCATTCATTGTAAGTCAATTAATTTTTTTTCATGTTATCATGCCACGTAGCGCCATCTTCATTTGAGTCCTTTTTACGATATATAAGATTTTCGAGCCAGTTTTAGCGCATCAACGTAGCGCTGTTCTTTCTCCCATAGTACTAGCACTCCATGAAATGTAAAGGGGTTAGCCTATTGAAGTACATTTGTCTACGATGCGCCATCTTAATAAAAAATCTGGTACCACACACTTTTCATATACGTTTACTAGTACTTCTACTCGCTCCTAGATGGCAATATAAGTAAGCATAGTAACGCTATGCGATGGAAGGTGTCGCTACCTGTTTTCATGCCGTTGTGTTTTATTCTTTTGGAAATATTTAAAAACATTTAGTTGTGTACCAATTCAATGTAAGTACATGGAAACAATGGCAATACAATAAAAGTGCTGCCGGATTTTAGATTCTTAGTGAAGTTTTAGATACATAAAATTAAACATTAAAGTGCTTACCAAAATATGAAATTAGTACAACTTTGTTACAAATTTATTATAGTTAGTTCCTTAAAAATAAGTCCATTTATATTCTTGAGCATCTGGTACCTACTACATTCACAAAAAACGTCGCACTCTGAAGGTATAAAGTCGTTCTCGATTAGTAAATCCTCCTTTATAAACTTGAATATTGTTTCATCGTACTCAATCATTCGCCTGAGCTGTTTCATTCAGCTCATTTGCACAGACCACTCGCGTGGAAAATTATTTCTTTTCATATCCCCATTTTTCACGTCTTACTTAAAGTTTTCCTGGGAATGACTGGGGAGTTTTTCTTATTCGTCTGTTTATTTTTCTTACCTTCATTTCTTTGCAGAGAAGCTAATTTTTTACTGTGTACATTTTTGTGTATTTTTCCTCTACCTTAAATTATTACGTTGTTTACAATATCGAATTGATTAATGTACTTATAACCAAACTCTTCAATCGAATCTGAGACAAATTCAAAAGTTATTTTGTTCAACGAAATAGTAATATCATAGTTAATACAATACGCAATAATATGCAACTAACTTATTAGATGATTTTATTACTTTTATATAGTTTGCAGCAAACCATTACAGGTTGAGCACATCAAACTTGACACAACATTTAAATTCAACTTTATGCCGTGCCGCTTACTTTAAGAACGCTCCAAAGTCCAAAGAACATTGATGAAGCCTTGACGACGTGTGATATGTGTTTTACGTCACAAAAATAATGATTATTATAAAAAAATCTAAAAACAAAATGTTCCAATCACGGGTTTTCGAGTTATTGACATATGCCTTCTAGATCGATACAAAATGCCCCGTCCATGAGACGCGCGTGAGGTAGGCAATGTACCAGGGCGACAGAAACAGACATGAGGTATGGAAATTACGTTTCCCCGCGTCGGCTTGCTTTCACGGTCCACTGCTTTGATCATAATAAAAACTCGCGCCGTCGCTTTCACAAAGAAGTTTGACCATAAATTCTTTGGCCTGCAGTAATCGCTCGCCGCCGGCGAAATTCCGACCCTAGATACGCTTTTAATATAATAATAAATATCTGTAACATTTTTACACTACTTTTTTGCAAAGTTTTTTTTTGTGTCTTTGTTTTACCGGAGGGTGAGAACCATTAAAAAGGTTAGGGTGGTATTTTATGCGATTTTAAGTGTGCGGAGGATCTAATGTCCATTTTATTGTAACATAAATTATGAACAACGACGATTGTAAGTAAGTAGGTAGAGACTTACATTAACTAATCTCTATTCGCTTTAAATATTATCAAAGGTATGTTGAAAGTTATTGATAATCTTAATCACGCAAAATAAAACTCAGGTCATTACAATCAGGATTATCTACGTACTTACTTTTACATTTTACTTACATATTTTATTATCTTTTTCAGTATTTTCCCTTCGTGTTAGGTATCCTGAGCACAATTATTTGTTTAATGAATAATAACTTATTTAGATACGTAGCATAAGAACGTAAATGATTTCGTGACCCTTATTTACTAAACAATTGATAATATCGACTTCTTAGGTTTTTTATGATTCCGAGTGACAGGACGAACAAGTCATGCCCCTGGTAATAACCGACAGGCCTGCCCACAACAGTAATGGCACTCAGATGTTTAAATGCAAAGATCTGAGGGGCACTGCCGCTCACTGCGCGCGTCACTCCGAGACATAAGTTGACAAGTCCCATGTGCCTGTAATTTCACCACCCCTTCAAAACCGGAACACAATAATGTTCACATTACCACTTTGCGGCAGAAATAGGTAAGGTGGCTGTACTTCCCTGGACGAACTCTTTCACAAGGAGCTCTACTGCTACTAAAATAAATGTAGGCCACACAAATATTTCTCCCTGCCCTGGAATCGAACCAGGGACCTCTGCGTGGCAGACAAGCACGGTAACCGTTCGGCCACGGGCACAATTAAATTGTAATATTAAGTTTATGAATATTACGATGTTTTACTTACCATAATATTCTATTGTTTTTTGTGAAATTACCCCGATCCTTTGTTAATAATTATTAATACGAACTTAAAACACAATGAAAAATGCATTCAATGAGGAAGTACTGTCCCTTCCTTGGACCAGCTCTTTCACAAGGAGCTCTACTGCTACTTAATTAGGTTTTAGCAAATGCTAAACATTGCTAATGGAACTATTTTTTTCTCGTTTATAATCGTGTGTATTTTATCAAAAAAATCAACGTATTTACTCTCTTTACAAGTCCCAGGTCCAATCACGGTTGACTGAGATAGAAGATGACGTTATGTATAATACCACCCTATTCTTCTATAGTTACGAAAGTGATTAAACATTTGATAATAATTAATAACATCATGTCATGTCTTCTGAATAAAAAGCAACCTGGAAATTCTGTTTTCACTAACCGTCACAAAACAAATGATGTCAATTTAATAATTCAGATAAAGTGATCAGTCACGCGAGGGGTGGCCCGGCACAACTTGACCATTAATAAATGGCAATGATACTTCAAAGTTTAACCCTTTTATTGCAATGAGAGGTCTCCGCCGACACTTGTGCTGGATATCGGAGGTTTATCTCTTAAAGTATATTATCCAGTGGGCTATCTATTTCAAGCGTATTTTAAAAGCAAAGCTTTCTTCTTCTTTACAAAGAATCACTACTTTTTATTAAAGAGATGTGACATTGATTCTTCAATGGTAAGGTGAATAACATTGAAATCTTTATGAGAACCTATGCACACGGCATATTTAAGACGCGCGTTTAAGGCGCCGTAGAGGCTCAAAAAGCAGATTGTTGCGTTTATATTATAACGATACAAACGCGCGTAAATCGAACATCGCGGTGCTTGCACCTTTACAAGAAGTTTATATACTCCACTGGAGTTACACTTATAATTTCATGTTTAAGACAATTTTTGACACTTCGTGTCTAGTGCAATGCATGCAATATAAACTCCCAAAACCGAATAGTAATAATTTAGTACAGTTACTAAGTGATTCCACTGAAATCTATTTTGGTATATTTTTAAAAAGACGCAGTGTGCGTAGTTTTTTTTTCTGTTGAATTTGTGAACGTGTTCAAAGGTTTACTCGCTACGACTGCATTGCGTTTGAATCGCATTAACGCGCGTCATCTGCGCGTCGTCAGCGCGTATAAATATAAAATACGCCGTGTGCATAGGCTTTTATAGGGTACTGTCTTATACTTCATTAGTCTTTGATAGCCTTTCCTCTGCCAAAATTTTGATTTTTTGATAGTCCTTGGGCCTCCCTATACTCTTCATCTCGTCCCAATCTTGTACATTTTTTACAGGCCTCCTCTTACAATGATAGGGCTTGGGCTATAGTTACCACGCGGGCCCAATGCGTATAGGGAACTTCACACACCTTATTGCTGTACAGGTGTGCACAGATTTCCTAACGATGATTTTCTTCACCAACGAGCTCATGCCAATAAATTTTCCACATAAATTTCGAAAAACTCAGAGGTTACAAACCCACGACCGTCTACAAAATCAATATAAACATTTTTTAATTCGTTCTACACTCGTAATGCATAACATCTAGAGCATAGTTTCTAAAACTGTAAATCACCAATGTACATATTAATCAAATTTAAAAAATATCCGTTCCAAAAAGTATTACTTAACGTAGTCATTTATAAAAATTTTCTTTATTAATACTTCCAATGAATTGTAAACTGGTAAAATTGACACTTATTGCTTTTACGGAATTTGTTGGAAATCAATTAATCACGTCGCCTCTGTCCAATAAATCCCCTACGGACTTTAATTATTTTCTTATGATTTTAATTTCTACCCTCAAACTCCACCGCTAGAGTTGTTATCAATTCGGTCGATTGTATTGATACATTATTTATTATATTAGAAGTACTTATTTTCAGTTATAAAATTAACCACCGTAAATTTTCTATGGATGACGAAGAAGAAAATAAAGTAATTGTGAAAGTATTTTAATGTAATCTTACTGGCCGTAAACAGTTGGGTATTCAATATTCTTATCTTTTATGACGTCTGTGCGTGATGTAAAGAAAGATTGTCTGTCCATATTTTCCAGTTAGTACTAAATAAGTAATACAGCAATCCATTATTTTACAATAGTTATTATTATATGCAAAGTAAATAGCTTTCACGATACCGACTTTAAAACTAAATTTCGGAAATAGCTGACGAACTTACTTTCAACAATAAAATTATTTGCATAGTAATAATAACCTC